TAAACAGCCTTCTGTTTGTTTTGTCAGGACTGCGCATTGCGAAACCACTTCAAGAAAACAAGGGGGGCGGTTTATTAAGAGGTGTTAAGAATATGCAGCATAACAGAATTTCAACTGCTCTCACGGAAATAAGTGGCTTTATTTGTGCAAATGACTCCAATCTTGGTGGGCATCTCTCCAGCCGTGATGTGGTAATGTCTTTATGATAAACTATAAAATGCTGCGAAAATATTTAAAAATCAATTAGCTGAGTTTAAAATCGTCTTTCACCACACATATATTCTCAAAAAAGTTAAAATTACATTCCAAAATCACCTTGTGCTCAACTTTAAGAAAGCGACAAGCAGTTATTTCTACTCACCCTGCAAGCCTACTACGGCACAGGCTTTTCGTTTCAAAATCCGCCCTACCACACGACTATCCTGGTTTTGCAAACAGTAGGCTTCGATAATTCCCTCGTCCTTCTCATTATGCCTTTCCTTCCCAAATACCAGAAAGTCCATTTCCGAGTACATCCTTGGATTTTGGTTGAAAGGGCAGTTACTACTGTCGGCAAACGGAAGTCGTGTTAGCCAGTGTTCTATTTGTCCCAGTTTTTGTCTGAAAAACGTGATTGAAAATGTGAGGTTGTGCATTGGTAACCCTGTATAGGCAGGAGAACGAAATTTGATGTAATTTTATTGCCAAATTATTTAAGAGAAACTGTTTTCTAATAATTGAATAAAAAGGACTGTATGTACGTTTTAGTCGGCTTGATAATTAACGGAAAAATATGATTAATTATTGACTCAGCAACTGTCAAGTGAATTTATCAGGGATTTTTTTGGTGCAATGATGAAAGTTGGCAAATTTAGTATCAGCCAAGTGCTTCGCGATTATCCCTCTCCTGTCTAAAAGTGTAAAAAATATGCTGAGACTTACATTTTGAATGTCAATTATTAAAAAATGTGTGAGAAAGTATACACTCCGGTGGTCATATGTCTGCAAAAGACCATTTGTTAAGTTTTAGGTGTAAATAGCATTTAAAATACACTTCCTTTTATAATCTACCAGGGTCGCATGCGCGTGATCGCAACTTATTATCAGCCTTCGATCTACACACAGAGATGATAGGCGGCTGTCGAGATAGATAACGAACATCGTCAAAATTAGGGTCAGTCACGCATCATGCGTTCGCAAGCTGTGTTTTATGAGTCGTTGGAAAGGGGCAAGCCGATGAGCCGGTATGTAAAAAGTAAAGAAAGCTGATTACAATTTACATTTAAATAAAATAGGTCTGGGCCGATGTGCGTGAAAGCGTTAAGGCAGCACCTACTACTTAAAAGATAAATAATGTAGGTTGGTTCGCCAAAAATCTACATTCAGATCCAGAGTAGTTTATGCCAAAAATAAATTAGTTACTGTAGCGTAAGAACTGACGATTCATGCACAACCAAACCTCTAAGTGCGCTAGAGGCAACTT